AAAGTTTTTCCAGGGAAAGCCGGTTTAGCCTATGCGAGTGGCTCGCGCACTAGCAGGTGTCCTGGGGAACACAGAATTGACCTGGCAGGAGAGGGACCAGACTGGAGCTGGGGATGACAGAAGTAGCTAGACTGGGAAAGGCCCCTGCTGTGTGCGGGCCTGGTGTGTGCAAGCTGCCTGGCCTTCTCTCCTGTCTCTGGGCACTGTAGGTGCTCCCTGTACACAGGGCTCCTGCTCCAGTTACCTGGGCCTGGCACCTGATGGGACTCAAGGCTCCAGTGCTCTTCCCTGGCCAGAGTAGTAGCCGTCCCTCTGGCAGGGAAGAGAGGCAGCGCGCACGCGGCACGGAAAACTCCTCCCGGAGCATCGCGTAGGCCAGGTCTGCGTGGGTCTCTGGGCCCTGCGCAGGCCGCCCACGGCTCAGCCCGTTCGGACCACTCCCAGGGCTGGCTGGCTGCAGCAAATGACCACTAGCCTAGAAAGGCAAATTGTTAAGGAACAAAATCTCTTTTGAGTAGCTGGGGACTCGAAGGCTAATCAGACATAAAAATAACCCCTTAAGCTGAGCTGGGACACCGTCCAGGCTAATTGCCCAAGGGGGAGAAACCAACCCAGAGTAGCTGCAGTGTGGGGAGAGGAACGAGACGTAGGCTCCACCATGGAGACTGGTGGTTGGGCTCTTTGCTTCAGCATGAGATCCCGGGTAACGGAGAGGAGTCTTCCCTCCTTCCACATCCTCAAGCCTTTCTAACGAGATAAATAAGAGCTTGCTGTATTAATTTACTATAAGTGACTGGAGGTCAGCTCTTGGTTTAGCTGGGTCAGGGATAATTTGAAGAGCGGGGAGATGACAGAGCGAGAGAGAAAGCATGCATGCTGCTGCCTCGCCCCAGTTATTAGCTGTCGTCCTTTCATTGGCCATCAGCTCTCCCAGGCCAGTACCTTCCTTGAGCAGCTACCGTTCTGAATGTTTGTTTTGGACGAGTGCTGGGCTTACCGCTAAGAGCATGGCGCTTTCCGCAAGCTTCGGCCTTCTGCTCTTGCTAGTTGCAGAAATGAGTTCCTTCTGGTGCTGCTGCAGCAGGACGTCCTAAGCCCCTGCGTGTGCAGTGCACCCTGGCCAAAGAGTCTTGTATGCAGCAGGAGCTGGCTTTGGAGACCCGTGCAAGCCTGTTCTTGTCTCTGCCCGGTGTCCTTGCCACCAGAAGCGAATACGTGAGAGGTGACCACAAGGGTGATGGAGCCAGCAAGTGGGGAGTGTCAAATCGGTTTCAGGAGACTCCTCCTCCTAAAGTCTGTTGGGAGGCACCTTCATGTTCTCTCTGGTTGGCAAAGGCCTGCTGTGCTCCTGGCCCGGGGGCTGGGCAGCAGGGGACCTGTTCTGCTCTGGGCTCAGTGGCTGTGGAATCAGTCAGCTGGCCCCTCTTGGGCCTGGCCCGGGATACCAGCAGGGCAGAGGAATGGGCAGGGTAAGGAGGATTACTGTGTTGCTTCTGATGCCGGGGAATGAATGGGCTGCTGTGCTCCTGTCATGGCAGGCGCGGACTCCCGCATCTCTGACGTTTGTGTTTTTTCTCTCTCCTTTGTGCAGTGGGTGGAGAGATCCCCCTGGACATGCGGCTGGGGGGCGGGCAGCTGGTGTCCGAGGAGCTAATGAACCTGGGCGAGAGCTTCACACAAACCAATGACCCGTCGCTGAAGCTCTTCCAGTGTGCTGTGTGCAACAAGTTCACGACCGACAACCTGGACATGCTGGGGCTGCACATGAGCATGGAGCGCAGCCTCCCGGAGGAGGAGTGGAAGGCCGTGATGGGCGACTCCTACCAGTGCAAGCTGTGCCGCTACAACACGCAGCTCAAGGCCAATTTCCAGCTCCACTGCAAAACCGATAAGCACGTGCAGAAGTACCAGCTGGTCGCGCACATCAAGGAGGGCGGCAAGGCCAACGAGTGGCGGCTGAAGTGCGTGGCCATCGGGAACCCCGTGCACCTGAAGTGCAATGCCTGTGACTATTACACCAACAGTCTGGAGAAGCTGCGTCTGCACACGGTGAACTCCCGGCACGAGGGCAGCCTCAAGCTCTACAAGGTAAGGCTTGCTTTCCCCAGAGCCCCGGGCGAAGGGAGGGAGCAATTCTGAGCCGGGGTGAGGGTGGATTTAATCCCATTCCATCTGGTGCCCCCGGGGGCTTGACCCCAGCTCAGTGGATCCCACTGCCCTCCACCGAGCCTTTCCAAAGGGGAGGTTCTGCTGTGCCCACCTCGAGGCACCACGTGGGGCTGCGCACCTGTCCTCTGAACACGAGGTCCCTTTAAAGGGTGTCCCCTTGCACACCCAGAATCAGAGGCCATGATTCCAAGGGCATCCCAGCAAGCCATTTCTCCCCGCTGGCCTCGGCAGGGGCTCTGCTAGCCAGCCTTTGCCTTCTGCCCGATCGCGCAGCTCTGCAAGCCACTGGCAAAGGAAGGCCAGGCAGCGAGCCTGCAGAATGCCTGTGCAGAGCCAAGGAAGTGGCTGGTGCCCTGGTTCTTTTGTTCTGTGGCTGGGGAGGGCTGGAAAGGAGGGAGGACCAGTTTGATTGCTAGCTACATTGGCACGGTCACACTGGCAGCTTTCCTAGGCTGATGCCTTTCAGCCCTGTCACCTTCCCCCTTGCTCCGTGACGGTGCTCTCGGCTTTTGCCTTGTTTGCTGTCCCTTCTGTCACCATCTTTTCCTTTCCTGCCTCGTGACGCTCTCCTTTCCCCCGCCCCGAGCCCTGCAGGCTGTAACCCAAGAGGAGCTCCGGATACAGTAAATAGTCCTTTCACTCCCGCAGCAGAATTACTCCAGACGTTTTTATTGATTTTTCACTGGACTTAAAGCTTCACCTTTTTCTCTAATCATCCCATAATGGCTTTAGTATGAACAATCAGGTACAAACCGCCATAAATCTAAGCAGCCTCTCTTCGCATCCCTCCTGCTCACACATGCTCTGTCTCTCGCTGTCTTCTCACTTGGCTCGGTTCTTCTTTGCCCCTTTCCCTTCCTCTGCCTGTAGCCGCAGAAGGATCTGCACAATTGGATTAGGCTAGGAGGGCTCATGTGCCCTGTCATGCCTTTTTGCTGCCTGGATGGAACTCTCCCGTGTTGGGTGGGTTCAAAACTTGGCGTCTCTCCCTGTGTCAGAGTCCCATGAGGAAACGGGCGGTTTGGAACATCGCGGGTTGTTCTAGGAAATGGACGGCTCCAGCGATTTCCGTGGGGGTGGAAAGCGGCAGGGGGGCAGAACAGCGTTGCTGGACTAGGGCAGCGGGAGCTTTGGCTAGTGTTCGCGGGGCATGCTCTAGGAAGCTCCTGGTCATGGAAGCCCAGCAGATGTGACTTGGGCTCCTGGGAACAGCACTGTTATCAGTGTCACTGCAACTAGTGAGGCATCGCACCGCTTCCTCTGGAAATAGCGGCGCTCGCGCCAATCGCTCCACTTTCCAGAGCCCTGGTTTAGGAAAGTCTGAGAAGCCAGGATATGGGTGGGAGGGAATTTGGGGTGAGAGTGGGAGCAGGAGAAATCCAGAGGAGCGGGGAGAGGAAGTCTGGATCGAGTGGTGTGTCTTCACAATTCACACTCGTGCACCAGGCATCATGATTTCAACTTACAATAGTCTCTTTAGATTGTGGGGGTGAGGGGTGTTGTGTGAGGACAAGACAGTGGTGACAGGCTGCAAAAATCCCTGGTTCAAACGCTCTGGTTCTGTTGTGCTGCCTTGAGAGAGTCAGTGGGGGCACTGGCTTTCTCCCTCATACCCAGCCCGAACAGGGAAAATGAGAAATGAAGAAGGGGCGTGGGGAATATATGGAAAGGCTGGAGAAGTGCCTTCCCCAGACAGGCCAAGGAATTCATTCTTAGGGACACTGGTTAGATTCAGCCCTGAGTGCTTTGTAGAATCGTCACTATCTGGTGTGTCTTAAAGGTAGAGTTCCAGTGAAATATCGTAGCGAGAGAGAACAGGAACTAGCTTGGTATCAAAATACTGAACACAGGCCTCTACCAGTCGAGCGCACAGAACGTGGATAGTCTATCTGCTAGTGTAGCCACGCAGTAGGGAAGTCAAATAGCAGTTAATTGAATAGTCGAGTAACCGCCTGTTTTCTTATTGTTACTCGACTATTCTATCATCCCTAAGGGTAGCAGCCAGTGCGCTCTGGCCCCAGTCCTGAGGAGCCCCCTGCCACTCCACGCGGCTCACCTCTCAGACCAGCTTCCTGTCGTCCTGTGCTGCTGCCTCTGATAAAGAGGCAGCAGCAACCCCTGTCTAGGGGAGCTCTGAGCTCCCGGACCTGGCGTGAGCCAGAACTGAGCCGGGCTGCCCGCCTGGCTCCTACTACACTTTAAATGCAGAGCCACAGTGGGGGTAGGTCCTGGATCCAGCATGAGCCAGGACTGAGCCGGGCTGCTGGCCAGCCTGCTGAAACGTTTACTGGCAAGGTGGGGTGGGGAATGTGTGTGACCTATGGCATTAACCTAGACGTTTTTGCTTATCGGTTTATCGACTCCACGGTTACGTCCCTAGCACGCAATCCTTGAACTGTTGGACGGAATTCATTGCATTGGTACCCAGCCATTTGCACTGTGAATCCTGCATGTCCTGTTGCTCTTCTTCCTTAGTTGGATTGTGCTCTCCAGTGAAAGGGGAGATTCCCAGGGAGTCGGAGCCCCAGGTTCGTTCCAGGGAGAGCGTGGCTGCGGAGAGGCAGGGACGCTCACTGAGGTCCTTGGCTCACACTTTCCATGCTTTGAAGTGGTCGCAGTGCCATGGAGGCGGGGAAGGGCGAAGTCGAAGAGGGAGGGGAGCAGTTCATGGACCAGTTTCTCCTCTCTTCTCTCAGCCCTTGGTGTGGTCTGCAGTAATTGAGATTGATTGGATGTTATTTTTCCTCTTGCTAATGTAATCCATTAGCCTGGCACATGCATAATCAGTTTAGAGCACAGTTAACTGGATGTAATCGAGTTCTTCCCTGTCTGCTGGAGAAAATCCTCTCCAGATGCTGCCTGGGTGAGAGAGTGTATGAAGCTTATCGCGCACAATCCTCCTTACTCGGCCTCTTTGCCGTTTCCTTTTTAAATCACGTTATTGGCCACTTGGGTTGCCCAAGAGCCACTTCAGCAGCAAGTGGCAGAGCTAGAAAATGTGATTCTGAGACCTCGTTAGTCAGCAGCTTGACAAGCCTGAGTCCTGTCCCGCCATGCGTCTGGGGCTCTGTTGAGGGTGGGGTACATTCTCATGCCACCTCTTCCCACGGTTCAGTATTTCCCAGTGCCTTCAGCCCAGCCCCCCTTCTGCACCATTGGTGAATGCGGGGCTTGGAGTTCCTCACGTTGTTAAACGCAGGGAGATCTGACCACCTCGCCCAGCTTGTCCCCCTCTGTGGTCAAAGCAGGGCTAGGGCTGAAATCCTGGGAGCAGGGCGGAGCGTGTGTGCTCATGGCCTTTGTCAGTATATTTTCATATTGCCAGACAAATTACCCAGAAAGGGCCTCTATTGTCGTAAGGACTTGTTTCAGTTCTGAGTGGCATGAGGTGGACGTGCTGGTCCAGGAGGTGAACAGAATATGGTATGTGAGCGAGAATAGCAGATGTGGTAGTGTGCAGCGTGGCTTAAGCAAGATCTTTAGCGAGCTTACACACAAGAAGGAAGCTGACAAGAAGTGGAATCTTGGACAGATAACCAGGGAGGAGCATAAAACCGTTGCTCGAGCCTGCAGGGGTGTAATCAGCAAGGCCAAAGCCCAACCGGAGTTGCAGCTAGCAAGGGATGTGAAGAATAACAAGAAGGGTTTCTACAGCAACAGGAGAAGGATCAGGAACAGTGTGGGACCCTTACATGGGCGGGCAGCCTAGTGACAGGTGATGTGGGAAAAGCCGAAGTACTCAATGTTTTTTTTTTCTCTGTCTTCACAGACAAGAGCTCCAGGGTGTGTCTAGACTACACCTCTCTGTCGACAGAGAAAAGTAGATTAGGCACATCTAAACTGCTAATGAAGCAGGGATTTAAAGAGCCTTCATTAGCATAAACATGGCTGCTGCTTTTTTTCAAAATGGAGATTTTTGTTTGAGGAATACAGGATCTGTTGAAAAAGGGTTTATTTTCGACAGATCCGCATTCAGACTGCCGTTTTTTTTTCGAAAAAACTCCGTTTCGAAAAAAGCAGCAGACATGTTTATGCTAATGAAGCGTGGAATATTTAAATCCCTGCTTCATTAGCAATTTCTATGTGCTTGATTTGCATCCCTCTGTCAATAGAGGGATGCAGTCTAGAAGTAGCCTCAGAAGGGTAGCTGAGTTAGTCTGTAACAGGAAAAACTTAAAACAAAAAATGGTTGAGTTCAGGATCGCTTGTACTTGGTCATCTGACGAAGTGGGTTTTGCCCACGAAAGCTCATGATACCATCTACGTGTTTTGTTAGTCTTTAAACTGCTACTAGACCATTTGTTGTTAAGTTTTTCACAGACAAGAACTATTTAGAAAAGCTGGACATACACAAATCCATGGGTCCAGTTATAATGCACCCGAGGGTGCTGAGGGAGTTGGCGGATGTGATTGCAGAACCTCTGGCCATTATCTTTGAAAACTCATGGTGATTGGGGGAGGTCCCAGACGATTGGAAAAAGGCAAATGTGAGGCTCATCTTTAAAAAAGGGAAGGGTAATCCAGGGAACTACAGACCAGTCAGCCTCACCTCAGTCCTGGGAAAAATCATGGAGGGGATCCTCAAGGAATCCATTTTGAAGCACTTGGAAGAGGGGAAAGTGATCAGGAACAGTCAACACGGATTCATCAAGGGCAAGTCATGCCTGACCAAACTTATTGCCTTCTGCGACTAGGTAACTCTGTGGACATGGGGAAGTCAGTGGATGTGATATACCTGGACTTTAGCTAAGTTTTTTATATGGTTGTGATGATGCATCGGAAAGCCCCCAACCCTACACCCCCATCCGCAGCCAAATGTGACTCTCAGTCAGCCAGTAGAGTGGAAGACTTTATTGGTTCTCAGGGACACAGGCGATGGTAGGAGGGGAGGGAGGGCTCCTGGCTTTAGACTGCCTTGCTCATCTTCCTCCCTCAGACTGCCCCTTCTCCCAGCCACGGGTCACTCCCTCCCCCAGGCAGACATACCCCTTCCTTTGTTCAGACTCCTTCCCCTGGCCAGGTGTGAAGTGGCTGGGCTGTTGTCTACTTGTCTTGGCTCAGAGTACTCCTATCCCTCGCTGGGCCCTGCGCAGACAGACTCCCAGAGCCCCTGCAGAGAGGCATAGGATCACAAAAGCAGACAGCACCCCCACTACATCACAACAGTCTCCCACAGTATTCTTGCCAGCAAGTGAAGGAAGCATGGATTGGAGAAATGGACTGTACGGCGGCTGGAAAGCTGGCTAGATTGTCGGGCTCAATCGGTAGTGATCAACGGCCCGATGTCTGGTTGGTTTCAAGCGGAGTGCCCCAGGGCTCAGTTCTGGGGCCAGTTTTGTTTGACATCTTTAGTAACGACCTGGATGAGGGGATGGATTGCACCCTCAGCAAGTTTGCGGATGACACTAAGCTAGGGGGAGAGGTAGATACGTTGGAGGGCAGGGATAGGGTCCAGAGTGACCTAGACAAATTGGAATATTGAGTCAAAAGAAATCTGATGAGGTTCAGCAAGGACAAGTGTAGAGTCCTGCACTTGGGATGGAAGAATCCCAAGCATTGTTACAGGCTTGGGACGTGTAACAGCTAAGCAGCAGTTGGGCAGAAAAGGACCATGGGGATTACAGTGGATGAGAAGCTGGATACGAGTCAATGGTGTGCCCTTGTAGCCAAGAAGGCGAATAGCATATTAGGGTGCATTAGGAGGAGCATTGCCAGCAGATCTAGAGAAGTGTTATTCCCCTTTATTCGGCACTGGTGAGGCCACATCTTGAATACCTCGTCCAGTTCTGGGCCCCCCATTACAGAATAGATGTGGATACATTGGAGAACCATAGAACACTAGAACTGGAAGGGACCTTGAGAGGTTATCAGATCCAGTCCCCTGCCCTCACAACAGGACCCAGGACCATCTAGACCATCCCTGATAGAAGTGTATCTAACCTGCTCTTAAATATCTTCAGAGATAGAAATTCCATCCCGCCCCCCCAGGCAATTTATTCCAGTGTTTAACCACCCTGACAGTTAGGAAGTTTTTCCTAATACCCAAGCTCAACCTCCCTTGCTACAGTTTAAGCCCATTGCTTCTTGTCCCATCCTCAGAGGCCAAGGAAAATTATTTTTAGATACCTGAAAACCGCTCTCATGTCCTCTCTCAGTCTTCTCCTTTCCAAACTAAACAAGCCCAATTCTTTCAGCCTTCCTTCACAGGTCATGTTCTCTAGACCTTTAATCATTCTAGTTGCTTTTCTCCGGACTTTCTCCAATTTCTTCACATCTTTCTTGAAATGCGGTACCCAGAACTGGACACAATACTCCAATTGAGGCCTAATGAGTGCAGAGTAGAGCAGAAGAATGACTTCTTGTGTCTTACTCACAACACTCCTGTTAATGCATCCCAGAATTGTGTTTGCTTTTTTTGCAACAGCATCACACTGCTGACTCATATTTAGCTTGTGGTCCACTATGACTCCTGGATCCCTTTCTGCAGTATTCCTTCCTAGACAGACACTTCCCATTCTGTATGTGTGAAGCTGGTTGCTCCTTCCTAAGTGGAGCACTTTCCATTTGTCCTTATTACACTTCATCCTGTTTACCTCAGACCATTTCTTCAGTTTGTCCAGATCATTTTGAATTATGACTCTATTCTCCAAGGCAGCTGCAACCCCTCCTAGCTTGGTATCATCTGCAAACTTAATAACCGTACTCTCTATGCCAATATCTAGATTGTTGATGAAGATATTGAACAGAACCAGTCCCAAAACAGACCCCTGCGGAACCCCACTTGTTCCTTCCAGCAGTATTGTGAACTGTTAATAACTACTCTGGGTATGTCTACACTACCCTCCTAATTCGAACTAGGAGGGTAATGTAGGCATACCGCACTTGCAAATGAAGCCCGGGATTTGAATTTCCCGGGCTTCATTTGCATAAGCCGGGTGCCGCCATTTTTATATCCCGGCTAGTTCAAACCCCGTGCCGTGCGGCTACACGCAGCACGGAGTAGCTAGTTAGGATTAGGCTTGGAATGAGGAGTACAGTTGGAATGAGGAGTACAGTTGGAATGAGGAGTACAGCTAGTTCGGATTAGGAAGCCTAATCCGAACTAGCTACTCCGCGCCGCGTGTAGCCGCGCGGCACGGGGTTCGAACTAGCCGGCATTTAAAAATGGCGCCGGCCGCCCCGCTGGTTCAAACTAGCGGGGTAGTGTAGACATACCCTCTCTGAGTATGGTTATCCAGCCAGTTATGCATTCACCTTATAGTAGCTCCATCTAAGTTGTATTTGCCTAGTTTATTGATAAGAAGATCATGCGTGATCAAATCAAATGCCTTACTAAAGTCTAGGTACACCACATCCACCGCTTCTCCCTTATCCAGAAAACTTCTTATCCTATCAAAGAAAGCTATTAGATTGGTTTGATGTGATTTGTTCTTTACAAATCCATAATGGCTGTTACCTATCACCTTGTTATCTTCCAGGTGTTTGCAGATGAATTCCTTAATTGTCTTTCCTGGGAGAAGGTCCAGCGGAGGCGACAAACATTACTAGGG